CTATGCTTATTCTTGGTATCTAATATCTTACAGTTTCTATGCAATGGGATTTTTTTGTGTGTGTCTTTCAATTCCTCCTCTTCCTATAAACTACAGCTTTTGTCTAGCATGCATCCTCTCATACTCACATTCACACACATATCTGCATAAATATGTATATATTTAAATACTACATTCAAAATAGTTCTAACAGAGAATCTGATACAGTTAAAGAGTTTTACAAGTGTAAACTCAAAAAAGTTATTTAATCTCTCTAAGCCTCAATTTTCTCAGGTATAATATAGAAATGAGAACAGTCCCTACTACATTGGGTTGTGAGGATTAAATGAGATAATGAAAAGAAACAGAATTCGGTACATGGTACACAGTAAGAAAGAAGTTAGTAGATGTTAATCCATGTCATCTGGCATCCCTATCCCAACACAACAGGATTTGATAATATGTCAGAGGCATGTGATATAGAACACCACCACTTATTCCCAAGGAACCTCCTGGAGCAGGGGTCAGCAAACTTTTTTTTGTAAAGGATCAGATTGTAAACATTTTTGACTTTTGGGTCATACCGTGTCTATTGCAACTACTCAACTCTGCCATTGTAGCACAAAAGCAGGCATAGACAACAAGTAAGTGAATAAGCATGGCTGTGTTCCAACAAAACTATGTGAAAACAGGCAGCCCATGAGCTTGGTCTAGACTGACTCACTCACTGGAATGAATGAGGTTTATGTCAATGGCAGGCATCCTGAGGCTTGTCCTAATATCCCTGCTTCAAACTCCAATGTTTTTGTGGTCTTGAATACCTGGTAAACTTGAACTTAACTCTGTATGGCTTAGCTCAAACATCACCTCTTCCGTAAAGGTTTTGCTTGTATTGGTCCCCAGAAACAGGGGGAAATAGAAAGATAACCAGGTAAAAATATATTTATCAAAACCAAGGAGATGGGCCGGCCTGGTGGCGCACTGGAGAGTGCGCTGCTTGGGAGCACGGCGGCACTCCCGCTGAGGGTTCGGANGCGACTCCGAGGGTTGCGATCCCGTTACCGGTCAGTAAAAAAGACAAAAAGGAAAAAACAAAAAAAAACAAGGAGAAAATATTTGCTAAGCATTTAGCTCGTGCTTGACATATATATGACTTATAGTGACTTATTTTCAAAGCATCTGTATTGAAATTGAATTTAAATTTAAGTCACCAAATATTTATAGTATTATTTGCTGCCAGACAATATACAGTCATGTGTGCATAATGACATTTCAGTCAATGATGGACAATATATCTGATGGAAATCCCATAAGATTATGATGGCTATATCATATAGCCTAGGTATGCAGTAGGCTACACTATCTATGTTTGCCTAAGTACACTCTAGGATGTTTCCTCAATGACAAAGTCACCTAATGACACATTTCTTAGAATGCATCCTGATGGCTATATCATATAGCCTAGGTATGCAGTAGGCTACACTATCTATGTTTGCCTAAGGACACTCTAGGATGTTTCCTCAATGACAAAGTCACCTAATGACACATTTCTTAGAATGCATCCCCCTCATTAATCAACACATGACTGTACTGACTTCTGAATGCCAGACAAACTGAGAGTATCAATCTGGGTATACTAATGGATTACATTTTAAAACTTAAAAGTATATTCCCAAAGGTCAAAATATCTGTATTTAATTTTCCAGTTCTATATTTTCTTACCGCCTGTTTTCCCTTTGCCAATGATTACATTAGGATAAGTTCTGCTTGCTTTCCTTAGATGAGGAAAAAAGAACTTTAAGTCTTCAAATGTATTAGATAATGTTTCATTCTTAGTCAGTGTATCCACTTCTGTTTTAACTGAAAGAGAGAGAAAAAAAATAGGGCTTCTGGTTTACCACTATATGGATTTTTCTCCTTTGGTATAATTTTTTAAGATGAGTGTTATAAATTAATTTATAGGTTAATTTAATATTCAATAGATAGGAGAAATATTCTTACATGTGAATTATCAAATCATAACAATACAAAATATAGCTCAGAGATTATTGATTCATATTTATTTAAAACTAATATTTAATTTAAGCCTAGCACTATGAGCTACACAATCAGAGGCCAGTACAACTGTCAGTTACAAATGAAGTATAACTGAAATATGCTTTAATTGGTTTCCTCTGCTACTTTGATTAATATCACTTCATTAAAGTTCATGTCTTAATAACTTTGTTTTGTTGCCCTTTAACATTTAATGACTCTATTTGTACCATTCATTAGAATTTGTCTCTACAGTTTTGGAAAGTAAAAACAAAGTTGAAGGACTCACACTACCCAATTTTAATTAGTAATACATAACACAGTAATCAAAACAGTGTGGTATTATGTAAAAAATAGATACATAAACCAATGGAACAGAGTAGAGAATACAGAAATAGATCCACACAAATATGGTTGATTTATTTTTGACAAAGGTGCAAAGGCAATTCAATGTAGAAAAGCCAGTTGACAAATGGTGCTGAAACACTTGCACATGTGAAAAAAATTGAAACTTGACCTGTACTTTACACCACTTATAAAAATAAACTCCAGAAGTTTCATAGACATAAATGTAAAACATAAAACTACAAATTTTTTAAAAAACATAGAAGAAAATATTCATGCCCCTAAGCTAGGTAAAGAGGTCTTAGATGATCAGTATACAACATAGCAATACATAAAACAAGAAAATACATTTAAAAATTTGATAAATTGGACTTCATCAAAAATTAAAAATGTTTGTCCTGTGAAGAATTTCATAAAGATAGTGAAAAGACAAGCAATAGACTGGCAAAAAAAAATTTCCAAATCACAAATCCATCCAATATGTATCCAAGATAATATATAAAACTCTAAAAACTCAACAAGAAAACAAACCACCCAATTTAAAAAAAAGCACAATGTGGGGGGAAGGATAGAGAGAAATTGGTAAAGGGCCACAAAAAAATGTTTGCATTGTGTAATGAAACAAAATAAAAAAGACAAAATATTTGAACAGACATTTCTCCAAAGACGATATCTGGATGGCAAATAAGCACATAAAAAAATGTTCAACATCATTAGTCACTAAGGAAATACATCTTAAAATTATGAGATACCATGACATTGGAATGGCTGTAATAATCTGGAGTGACTGGAACTCTCACACATTGCCACAGGAAATGCAAAATGGTACAGCCACTCTGGAAAAGTTTGTCAATTTTTTATAAAGTTAAACATACACTTACCATATACCCCATCAGTCCTCCTTCTAGGTATTAATCCTAAGAAAAATGAAAATTTCTCTTCATACTAAAAACATGTACATGGATGCTTATAGCAACATCTATTTGTAATTGTCAAAAATAAAAAATAACCCACGTATCCCTCAGTTGGTGAAAGGATAAACAAACTGTATCCACTGTACATCCACACAATGAAATTCTATTCAGCAATGAAAAGGGAGCAAACAATTGGTACCACAACAGTTTGCATGAATTTGTGCTAGGTGAGAAATGCCAGTCTCAAAAGGTAACACATTGTACAATTCCATTTGTCTGGCATTCTGGAAAAGGCAAAACTATAGGAACAGGGAACTGATCAGTGGTTGCTGGGGGTTAAGAGTGGGAAGACAATTTGACTACAAAGGGGAAACACAAAGCAGGACTTTTTGTTCTGGAGAAATGGGGAACCACTGAAGGTTTATTTCCAGGACAGTGGAACCTTCGCTTTGGCTGTAGTGAGACTAAATAGGAGACAAGACTTGGAGATAAGAGAAAAGAAAGATTCAAAGTATGTAACATACTCCTAGTTATTCAGATGAGGCATAAAGCTGCTCTGACTAGTGTAGTGAAGAAGGTGATGGAAAATGTGCACAGATCTGTGAGATATTCGGTTTGATGGATCAGCATGATTGCTTACTGACTGACATGGAAGAATGCGGGAGTGAGAGGGAGGGGTCAGAGGTGATGCTCAGGTTTCTGGCTGCATCTACCGGATGGATCGTGGATTCTGGTGCAATTCACAGACATAGAAAACACAGGGAGACCATTTTCAAGGTAGGGATGAGGAGATTATCAGTGATGTCTCTTATTTGATTTTTGCATGTCTCACAATAAAAGAACCATACTGATTTAGTTACGTTTATTGGCGCGAAACGCCCTAAGACCAAAAGGCATTAAATCTAAATTTCCCAAACAAGACATAAAACAAACAAACCACCATACACAAAAATTAAAGCAACACAAACCTAAGTTTCCTGATATAATTTCATACTTCATTTTATTCAAGGCTTTTACCAGCTCTTGGTGAGTGTGTTCAGTTTTGTCTTTTAAATGTAGCATTTTTTCCTTAAACTCCAAAATATGGTTTCTACAATTAGTTAATTGGTTACCTGAAAAGAAAACATAAGTTTATGCTTATACATGTAGCAAGGGTATCACACAATTTTCTATAATAGATAACAAAGATATAAAATATATGCTTCAATATATCTCTAGATAGCACTATATGTGTGAATATATGTATACACAAATGTACACATAGTGCTATATTCGTATAGTATATATTTACATGTATATATGACTGGAAATAAAAATCAAAATATTAAAAAGAGCAATATGTGGAAGGTAAGATTATCAATGATTTTTTTGCTTTATTACCTTCTGCTTGTCTATGTTTTACAAATTTCTCATATTGTCCATGTATTAGATTTGTAACTAGAGGGAAAACTCATTGAACCAAAAAACATTCTTAAGAATTTATCTGAAGAAAATGACCAGGTATGTGTCACACAGATTTGACTCCAAGAATGTTTAACATAGGCAACATTAATTATCATTGTAATATACATGGAAACAACTTAAGTGCCCAACAATAGGAATGCTGGGTTCCACCAGCAGGTTTTTCCTCCCTTTCCTAACCTCTCCCACGCCCAACCCAAGAGCGAGCTTCCCTAATGCTTCACCCCTCGGCCCTAGAGACGGCCAGGGGATCTCCCTGGGGGGAGTGAGTGATCTGCCCACCAACCCAGCCCCGTAGAAAGGACACTCAGAGAGGGCAGGGGTTCCCTCAAGCAGTTCCATTTATTGCTTGTTAAGCAAGCCGATTTAAGCTTTGCCAGCGTGGGAGTTCCCTCTGCCCAGCCAATCAGGGTAAAGATCACGTGGTCATGCATGGGGGTTCCTTAAGCTATACTAAGCAATCATGCCTTGATCACCAGCGGGGAAAACCAGGGCTGCCAATGGAATTAAACAAAAACAAAATGCGGAACCCAGCTGTCCCCTCCCACCTTGCTTCCTCTCCGCACCATCTTTAGGTGGCCGCATGGAGAGGGCCTTGCCTAAATCGCCATTTTGGCATTACTGAATCGCATATGAGCCCAACATAGGAAATTTGCTAAATAAATTTTAAAATATCCTTTTAAGAGTTCTGGTGGCTCTGGTGTCAAATCATGTATAAATGAAACCCAGTTTTGCCACTTAGTATTTTTGTAACCTTGGGCAAGTTACTTAATTTTTGTTAGCCTCTGTTTCTTTATGTGTAAATGTATATGTAAGAATCCCTGCTTCAGAGTCGTTCTTAAGATGGAATGTGATAATGTATGTAAAATGTGGTTTACGTACATTATCACATTCCATCTTAACAACTAATAAATATTTATTATTTATCAATAAATATTTATTGATAATAAACTAAGAAATATTTATTATTTATCAATGGACTAATCTTTATTCGTTTATCAAAGGAATACTGTGTTGCTATGAAGAACCACATTGAAGAACATTATTATTCATAAATATTTATTGATAATAAATATTTTTTATTTATCAATGGACTACTCTTTATTCATTATCAATGGAATACTATGTAGCTATGAAGAACCACATTGTAGAAGAATATTTAGTGTTGTAAAAACAATTGTTTCTTAAAAATAAAACCATGTTGCTGTGGACTGAATATCTCCCCAAACTCATCAAAGCTTAAATTGTGTCCCCCAAAGTTCCAGGTACTGGACACTTGCCTCCCGTGACAGTGTTGAGAGGGTGGGAAATCCTATTGTGATGACTGAAAGGTGGGGGCTGGGGAGGTGTTAGATTCTGAGGACCATGACCTAATGAATGGATTAATAATGGTGGTTGTGGGTATGGTTCTGAGGGCTTTAGAAAGCGAGGATGTGAGTCTCTCTCTTTCTGTCCTGCCATTTTCTGCCATGTGAGACCCCTGCATTGCCGTAAAGCCACCACCAAAAGAAGACCCTCACAAGATGTGTTCCCTGGACTTTGTACTTTGTAGCCTCTGAAACTGTCAGCAATAAATTCCATTTTCTTACAAATAACCCAGTTCCAGGTATTTTTTTTATAAGCAACAGAAATGGACTAATACACATGTTTAAAATAATTATATTTTTGCAAAAAAGTACACATATAGCAAGAAAAAGAGTAAGTGTAAAAGTTTATATTTTGACATATAATGTTTGATTGTGGGATTAAATGATATTTGTATCCTATCTTTACAAAATTGTTTCTAAATCATGTTACATTGCTTCTGTAATCAGAAAAAAACAACAAATAAAAAAACACCTTTTATTTGTCATGTACTCTGTGTCAATAGAAATACAAAATTGAAAAAGATATTGTTAGTTCTACCTTTGGAAAATTCATAGGCCAATTGTAGAACTGCCTTAATTGATCATTTATGTCAATGTGGTATTTTTTACTTCCTTCCCCTTGAATATTAACGATTAAGAATAGAGGCGACATCAGTTATCAGCTTTATCTGGGGCCCTCTGACAATGGGTATATTCCAGAGTCCTGCCTCTCCACTCAATTTGAACTTACCTACTCCCACCCCATTATTGAAAGGGAAGCTGGACAACAGTGGGCCACACCTATGAAATGATGACTTGCCATATGTGCTTATTACTTTGGAGGAAGAAGTAAAGAGGGAGCCTTTGTTCTTCTTTCAGAAAGTACAGAGTACAGGAGAAAGAGCCAGAGATGGACCAAGTTGCCTTTTCAAGAAGTGATTCTGCCTCCGTGTCAATGTGGCCTATAGAAGTCCGGTCTGATCAATCTCACCATTCAGATGAATCTCTCCTCTTTTGAGGTAATGAATGAGATAGTGTGAGAAGCTCCAAGAATTCACTTTAAAATGTCCTCTCTAGGATAGCAAAATGAAAGATACCCCCTGGAAGGAACTATGGGCTCAGTAGAATGAGACATCACCGTGGCTTGTAGTGATTCTTTCTTTTTTTCATCTTGGTTACACAGAGGGAAGTGTAACATTGTTTCAAAAACATGCATATACTGCACAAATTTCTTTTTATTGGAACATAACTGATTACATATTTGTGGGGTACAGAGTAAACTATCAGTATTTGTGTACAATATATGGTGATCAAATTAGAATGATCAGCATATTTATCATTACAAAATGTAATCATTCTTCGTGTTAACTAACCAATTTCTCCCTAACTCCCTGTCCTTCTCCCTTTCCCACCTCTAGTGGCCAGAGGATAGAATTCAGACAGGCTGAGAGGGGAAAGGAGGGTCAGAGAAGGATGCTGGAGCAGACACTGGAAGGAGCAGGAGTAATTAGACAGTCAAGGAAAGCAAGGAAAGGCATTTTAGTTAGAACACTGTGGGACCTGTTGTTGCCATCTTTTTGCTTCTTTTCTAATTGCTTTGTAGATCCTTTTTGTTTGTTTGTTTTCTGGTCTTACTGTCTTTCTTTGAGGTTGAGTGGTTTTCTCTAGCAGTGTATTTTGATTTCTTACTATATTCAGTATGTCTCTTGCAAGTTTTTGTGCTATGATTACATGAGGGTTACAAAAACATGTTATCATTATAATAGATTATTTTAAACTAACAATGACTTAACTTTGGTATGTAAGAAAGAAGAAAAAACCAAAGTCAACTCTGCTTTGATGTCATTCTCACTGACTTTTTGACATTTTGCTGTTTCTAGTTAAATCTTTTAATTTTGCCTATCTCTTATATGGTTGTATATGTTATTGTCTTGTTAGGTTTGTCCTTTAATATTCATACTAAGGATTAAAAAGTTTATTCACCACCCTTATAGCATTGGAATATTCTGAGATTGTCTTATTTATAGTGAATAAGTACTTACTTTACTAGTGAGTTATGTACCTTTAAATGTCTTGTTGTTACTCTTTAGCATCATCTAGTTTCAAATTGAAGAACTCCCTTTAGCATTTCTTGTAAGACAGGTCTAGTATTGAATTCCCTTAGCTTTTTCCTGTCTGGGAAAGACTTTACTCCTCCTTCATATTTAAAGGTTAGTTTTGCTGGATACAGAATTCTTGGCTGACAGTCTTTTTCCTTCAGCACTTTGAATATACCATCCCATTTCCTTCTGGCCTGTAGGCTTTCTACTGAGAAATCTGCTGAGAGACATATTGGGACTCTGTTGAATGATATATGTTTCTTTTGCTGCTTTCTTTGTCTTCGGTTTTTAATAATTTGATTAGGATGTACTTTGGAGTGTCCCTCTTTGGATTGAATTTTATTTTTGACCTCTGAGTTTCCTGTACCTGGATGTTTTCATTTTTCTCCATACTTGGGAAATTTTCAATCATTATTTCCTTGAATATGCTTTCTAGGTCTCTTCCTTTTTTCTTTCCTTCAAGCACACCAATTATGCAGAGATTATTTTGTTTGACGGGTTCCCATAATTGCTACAATTTTGTTTAATTTTTTTCTTAAGTTTTTTTCTTTTCATTCCTTTGATTAGATAATTTTGTATGTTTTGTCTTCGAGCTCACTGATTCTCTCTCTGTTTGATCAAGTCTGCTGCTGGAGCTTTCTATCAAGTTTTTCAGGGCACATAGCATATTCTTTATTCCTAGTATTTCTATTTTTTAAAATTGACTCTATTCCTTTGTCAAGTTTCTCATTCTGCTCCTGAATTGTTTCCCAGATATCACCTAATTTTCTATCTGTATTTTCTTGTGACTCCCTGAATATCCTTAAGAGGGTTATTCTGAATTCTCTGTCAATCATTTTATAAATCTGCTGTTCTTCTGGGTCCATCGCTGATGGTTTGTATAATTCTTTTGGTGGTATCATATTTCTCTGTTCTTTCACGATCTTTGTGTCTTTATGTTGAAGCTTGATCATTTGAGGGTAACATGACCTCTTCCAGGTTTCACATATGTTCTTTGTTGGTGTTAGACCTTTAATGGTGAAAATCAGAGCTTTGTCTCTAGTCTCTGTGTTTTCTTTTTCTTTTTTTTTCTTTCCCGTTCTGTAATGGATTAATAGCTACCACCATCACTGAAACTCTGCACTGGAACTAACTTGCTGTCCTTGAATTGAGGAAAACTTCCTGTGGGGACTGGGACTTGAGCTCTGTGTTTGAGCTAAATTGCTG